GAATCCAGAGGGAAAAACCTCGGGATGAGGGGTGAGAAAAGCAAAATCAAGCTGGTTCCACCGGAATCCAGAGGGAAAAACCTCGGGATGAGGGGTGAGAAAAGCAAAATCAAGCTGGTTCCACCAGAATCCAGAGGGAAAAACCTCGGGATGAGGGGTGAGAAAAGCAAAATCAAGCTGGTTCCACCGGAATCCAGAGGGAAAAACCTCGGGATGAGGGTGAGAAAAGCAAAATCAAGCTGGTTCCACCGGAATCCAGAGGGAAAAACCTCGGGATGAGGGGTGAGAAAAGCAAAATCAAGCTGGTTTTTTTAATGTCATCCCCACGTTCTTCGCTCCAGAAAGAGACTCCAAGGTCAACTCGGAGTTCAGGGACTGGGAAGGAGGGTTGGCCCCGGTGGGTCTGAGCTGGGGCATCCAAACTCTCCTCTTGGGGATGGAAAAGCCATTTTTCTCTTCTTTCCAGGCACTGGCAACGTTCCCCTCGGGGGTTTTCCAGAGGTTTTTTTACAGGCTTCTCTTCCGCTGCTACAGGGGAATATTCAGGACATCCTGCTGCCCCTGGAGGTGGAATTCCAGCACCCCCAGGGAAAAAGGCAGGGCAGAGTATTCCTTGTTTCCCTCCTCTGGATGCAGCATCCCCAGGCTGGGCAGTGGGAGCTGCCAGTTGGAGCCAAACCTTCAGCTCGGAGCAATAAATTTTCCACTTACGAGCTCTTGGAGAGATGATGGATTGGAGCTGTTAAAGCCCCAAAACCTGACCAGTTCCTCTGGAGAAGGAAAACCAAACACCTGGAGCACAGCTATGGAAGGGCCTGGTTTGGTTCTTTCCTTAGAGGGAAAAAAAAAAAATCAAAATAATTTAAAAATAAAGAGCTTTTTTTCACCCCAGGCACTCAGGATTTGGCATCTCCCCGAAGTTTCAGGTGTTCCACGGATCCCAGTTCAGCCATTTCCGGGTTATGGTGTTATTTTTCCACCTGAATCCTTCCTTAATCTCCATATTTTCTCCCAAATCCTCCCAAGATCCTTTTCTGCAGTAATTTATACAAATGCACACCACTTAGAAAGCCTGTTTGCCTCTAAATTCGCAGCATTTCAGAATTCTTGGATCCTCCCCAGCATTTCTAGGGCTTGCAGGGGAAGAGGAAGAACCAAAATCTTGCTGTTACCACATTCAGAAAAACAGCAAAACCAAGGCCTAAAACTAGTCCAATTAACAGTTCAAATGTAACTATTTGGAAAACAAAAAAAAGTTAAATCCAGAGAAAATTCTCTTGTGAAAGGAGATCAGATTTGGGGCAAAAAGTGGGTGACAGAATCCCTCTGAATTCTTTCCACTTCGGGGAAAGAAGGAGAAAAAATTGAAAAAAATTAAAAATAAAATAAAATAAAAATAAAATAAAAAAAAAAAACAGCTTTATCTGGGAATTAAATTTATCTTGAAAATATCTAAAGAGAGACTGTCTGGGCCATAATAACCTGGCACGACTCAGCCTGAGCATTTTGGTGCTTTGATGCAGCAAAAATCTCCCCCCAGTGGGTCTGGGGAAAGTCTAATCTGGGGTCTAAATGGCACCAAGGATCCGAATTTATCTGCAGTGGTTCTGGAATTGCAGCAGATGAGAAGGAAAACATTAATTAGCCTTTGGCAGTGACACCCCCAGTGACAGCTGAACCAGCCCCTGGGTCAGAGTTGTACCAAATATCAGAATAAAGAGCTGAGGAGCAGGGGAAAAATTAAAAAAAAAAAAGGGGGAAGGGGGAAAAGCCCCCCAAAAAAGGGGAGGTGGAAAGACCCATCAACCAACACCTTTTTAGGGAGGGGAAATAAAATTTCAACTGGGCCTGAAGTGTGGATTCTCCCTTTCTTTCCACCCCGTCTGTGGAGTTGGGCAGAGGGGTTTTTTTTTTGCAGGTTTAATCTCAAATTCTGAGGGTGTAGAAGGAGGAGAAAAACCCCAAGAGGTCCTGGTGTGGGAGCCTTTCCTTGGGGTCAGGTCCTGGAAGCACCAAATCCACACGTGGGGCTCGTCACAGGCGAGAGAAAATAGAACAAAAATCGGGAAAAAGAAATTCCACCGACTCAAAAAATGTGATGTTGACCAGGCGATTTTCACAATTTCTGTGCTGTCCAGGCATTCCTGATTTATCTGGAATGCCCATGGATGAGCTTGGATTTGCCCCAGGATTTAGCCTGTGGTTTTCCAGTGCTCTCTCCCCATCCTCTCTTCCATCAGACCCATCCTGTTCCCACTGGATCAGTGGCCATGAGGACGTATTTTGAAGGAATTTCAGGGTTTTTTTTCCCCTACTCTCCATCTCCTTTAGGGGAAGGGTCATAATTAGTAATTTAGCCAACTAATTAGATGCCAAAAAGCGCATCAAAGCCGTTGGCTCATGAAAATCCTGGAGGTGAATCCTCTGCAGGGTTTTTAGTCCTTAAAATAGTTCAGGTTCCCCTTTCTCCAGAGGAGGGGCTGGAAGGTGTTGCTTTGAAGGGAGAGTTGGATCCAAGTTGGTGGAGGAGACCAGGACTTGAGGCTTCTGAGGCGTGAAGGCAAAATTAAATGTCAATTAAAGAAGGCAAAGGGGAGAAAGGGACAGAGCTGGGGGGGTGAGGGGATGGGAGAGGAGCCCTGGAGAGCCAACCTGACCCCTCCTGGGCCACCACAACATCTGATCCCGCTTCCCAAGCACTCCATGAGAGGGAAGAGGCCAACACAACATTCCTGAGCATTCCAGAGCCGCCGTGCCCCAAAAAGCTTCTCTTTGCTCCCCAAGAACCTGCTGCTCGAGGCACCCCAGGGAACAAGTTTCCCCCCCCCCCCCATTTCTGCTGCTGTTCAGGCTCTGGTGGAGGAGGGAAGAGGGAAAAAACAAACAAACAAACAAAAAGCCCAAAAAACCCCTCACCAAAGTCAAAAGTTGGTTGCACGTTCCCCCCACCACCACACCCAGGAGGTGCCCAGGAGGATCCAGGCACATCCAGCCTCCTCCTTTCCTGCCCCATTCCTTGTGAAAAAAAAAAAAAAATTAAAAAATCCATTTTTGGGGTCTTTTTTTTTTTTTTTCCTCTCTCTCCTTGCCGTTTCTTCTCCAGGAAGGGGACAGACTTTGGGATAACGGGAGGTTCCGACACGTGGGACGCGGCAGGATTGGGATGCAGGAGGGAGGGAGGGGAAGGGGGGGTCTCTCAGCACTGCTCTGCTTCCACAAATCCCTCCTTTTCCTGGCTGGCTGCTTCCACCTCGGCGTAGGTGGCGTGGTGGGTGTGATTCCGGAATTTCATGGCAGGCCAGTGGTGTGGCCTCCGCTGGGGACAGAGAAAGGAGGGAACGTCAGGAGCTGGGACAGAGCCTCACCCCCCCGATCCCGAGGGGAAAAACGGGCCCTGGGACACGAACAAGGTTGTCCTGGGGAGAGTTTGAGGGTTTGGGGGGGGAGAAAAAAGAGCTTTAAAAGGTCTCTTAGCGCTTAAAAATGGGTTTGTTGTAACGCGCTGAAGTCACTGAGCTGAGGCACTGAAATGGGGAATGGGGAGGGAATGGAAAATGGGGAATGGAGGTGAAGTCTCCCATCAGCCTGAAAATCTGGGATGGTCTGTGCCTGGAGCAGCAGCTGAGGATGCCCAGGAGTGTTCCCTGCAAAGGTCAGCTCTGTGTCCCCTCCCTGCCCCAAACAGGGCCAAGCACTGCCCCTTCCCAGCTGGGTGTGGATGGATCCCTCAAACATTCCCAGTGCCCAGTGCTGGGCTGGCAGGGGCTGCACGGATGGATTCCCTGCAGCCTCTCCCTGCAAACAGGACAGATGGGGGAGAAGCACTCCAGGAACAAGCCAGGGAGGGATAAGGGAAGGCTGAGGGCTGAGTGTTGCTCATCCCTTGGCAGCAGCTCCCGTGCCAGGATCCAGCCCACTCCCGGCTGCCTCGGGCCCGGCTCCGGCAGCAGATGGGGATGGTTGGGCCCCCTGTCACCCCCAGAATTAAATTCCTGCCTCCAGAGCATTCCCACAGCCCTCCCACGGCAGCTGATGGCATCCATCCATCAGGGGCAGGCTGGCAATTTTAGGCAGCAAAGATCCAGCGGGGTGATTCGGCAGAGCCTCCCCCACCCCGGGCAGGGCTGAGCTCTTGGAGCAGGTGGAAGAGCCCGACGTTCCAGGGGGGAAAACAGGCAGCTTGTGAAAAGGGGAGAGAAATAAAACCGTGTGGGAGGGAGAGAGGCTGAGTTTAAACACCCATCAGCCGGAGGTTGGGAGATCAGCCGTGACTGGAGGAGCACGGAAAGGAGCTTGGATGTGAACCTCCCTGCTCTGGGATTTGTGTGGATCTGGAAGGCTGGGATTTGTGTGGATGGCAAAGGGAGGGAAAAGTCCACAGGGGTGAGGTCCTGCACTCACCTCGATGAAGAAGAGGGCGGCGTTGGAGGTGGGGTGGCTGCTGATGTAGATCCCAGCCAGGATGATCCCGGCCACGAGCAGCACGGCCAGGACGATCCCCACGATGGTGCCGGTGGGAATCGGGGCCGTCTTGGAAGGAAGGCTGCTCCCCACGCCTGGAAAACAGGATCCAGCTGGGTCTGGAGCAGTGCTGGTGCCTCAGCGACTGCACAGAGCTGCAGAGGGTGGCCGTGGCATCTGCTAACTGGGACATCACCAGGCATTTGGGAGCAAACTGGGAATAACGTGGATTCCAAAGGCTCCGTGGCCCAATCCCGAGCCCAGTTCAGGCAGTTGAACTTCCCTGAGCTCCTCCCAGAGTAAAGGGACACACAGGCCCCGAACAGGGCTTGGATCCTTCCCAGCCTCTGGAATTAGGAAGAGCATTATGGCAGCAGTTCAGTTCCCTGGTGGACAGACTGGGGCTGACCAAGGATTCAGGGAACAGAGAGGACACTTTATATTTGGATTTTATGGTGCTCTTTGGCCCAGCTGGGGAAATTCAGAGGGAAAAGGACTTTGTGTCTATGAAAATATGGCCAATAAAGGGAATTACACAGAAGGAGAAAACTCCCTGTCTGAGTTTGCACAGCAGGACAAACGGCACCAGGGTAAAACAGATCATTGCAGACTCTCACTTTTCACCCTCTGGAATTGCATTAACCAGGGTGAGGACAACAGGAATGTTATCTTGATGATGTCCCCAGGTTCTCCTGTCCCCCCTGCTGACCACTGGAATCCAGGGAAACCCGTGTTCCCTTGGAGCAGGCAGGGAGGGGGTGAAGGGCTTACCCTCTGCTCCTGCAAACTGGTTGAGCTTCGTGTCGTCTGAAAGGAGAAAAGAGGGTAGAAAAAAAATAAAATTAGGGGCTTTCTCCGATATCCTGCACGTTTCCCACCTGCTTCCATCCCCCTGTGATGGGATCTCTGGATAGTTTCAAATCTCTGCTCGTGGAAGAGGGAGGAACACAGGAAACAACAGTGAAAGCAGGTGGGATAGGGATCATTTTCCTTCACTGAGGTGGCACCTGGAGCACAAATACCTGGGAAAAGGGGTCACTCAACACGCTCAGAGTGCAAGGTCTGAACCATAAGTGGATGCTGGATGTGGGTGCCCATGTTCAGGCCACAGCATTTGGGGCTAATACATCCCAAATAAATCAGTGGGATGTTACACTGGGGGTGTTTTCCATGGGGGCCCAAAATCCACTTCCATTCTTGGCCTCGCTCTGGAAGAACCAGGATATTTTGGACAAGGCTTTGTCTCTTGATGGTCTCCACATCCCCACCCTCACCAGGGTGAAATCCTGACCCAGAATTCCCACTGCTTGGCTTCCACATGTGCTGGAGGCAACACTGACACACGGCTGGTGAGTCAGACACAGCCACCAGCATCTCCAGGAGCAGATCCAGGGAAAAGGGCTGGCTGGGGAGGATGTGGATCCAAGGAAAAGGGCTGGCTGGGGAGGATGTGGATCCAAGGAAAAGGGCTGACTGGTAGGAACACAAATCCAGGGAACAGGGCTGGTTGGGGAGGATGTGGATCCAGGGAACAGGGCTGGCTGGGAGGATGCGGATCCAAGGAAAAGGGTTGGCTGGGGAGGTCATGGATCCAAGGAAAAGGGCTGGCTGGGGAGGACACAGATCCAGGGAGGACGCCGAGGGCTGGGTCCCCCCGGTGTTGCTGATTCCTTTGCTCTCTCCTCAGCCCCAGCCCTCCTCCCTGTTTGTTTCCTTCCAAGATCCCAAATTAACTTCACGCTCGACTGTGTCACAGAAAAAAAGCCTCTTTTCCTTTTTTTTTTTTTTTTCCAAGAACTGGCGGTGAGCTGGAAAACGCTCTCCCTGGTGGTGTTCCACCCCCCCTCCCCTCCCTTCCCCTTAATTGCTCCTTCCAAAGTCAGCCCTTGGCAGCCCCATTCCCCCACCCAGCTCCTTCCCGTGGCTGAAGGACAATCACTAATGTTCCTTTCTATTTATCCTAATTAGCAGGCGGCGTTAGGGACTATTAAGCAGGGAAATTGGAGTGATACCTGCCGGGAGGAGCCGAGGAGCCAGCCTCGTGTTAATGGGATTAGAGCACGGGGGTCTCCAGGGAAACCCGCGGCTTTATGTGGAGCTTTCCGAGGCTGGAACGAGCAGCATTCCCAAGGAGAGGGCAATCACCTGGATTAATTCCAGGCTGAGAGTCCTGGCAGCCCCTGAGCTAAACCCAAGCCCATGAAAAGCCTGAGCTCCACTCCGCAGGATTAACCCCCCTGGAGGAGCCTGTGGGCTCTGCCCACCACGGATTGGTTGCTGTTGACCTTCACAAATGGGTAAAAAAAGCTGCAACGACTCTAAAACTCTTCCCACTGGAGGATTTCATCCCTCCCTGTGCCACATCCCCCCAGGTCTCATCCCTTGGCTGCTCTTCCTTTCCTTTTCCACCACCCCCTGCACTCACCCCTGACCAAGGCAAGGTTGGACAGGGCTTGGAGCAACCTGGTCCAGTGGAATCATGGCAGGGAGTGGGACTGGATGAGATTTAAGGTCCCTTCCAACCCAAACCATTCCATGATTCCATGATCTAACTTTGCAGATCCTGGGAATGTCGCTCCTCTTTCACAGAGGGAGAAACGGACTCGGGAGGGGACACTGGGAAGAAATTCCTCCCTGTGAGGGTGGTCAGGCCCTGGAATGGATTTCCCAGAGGATGCCCCATCCCTGGAAGTGTCCAAGGCCAGGCTGGACAGGGCTTGGAGCAACCTGGGCTAGTGGGAGGTGTCCCTGCCCATGGCAGGGGGGGGGCACTGGACAGGCTTTAACGTCCCTTCCAACCCAAACCATTCCATGATCCTCCTTCAAAACCCACGTTGTTCTTGGATTCCTTTGGACAGGAACTGGCTTTGTGAGGCCCTGGAGTGAAGGACCTTTGCAGGGATGTGCCCCAGGCATGGGATGTCCCCCCTACCTTCGGTGGTGAGGCTGTCGATGAAGAGCGAGGCCGTGGAGGAGGTGACGCCCTCGCTCAGAGGGGACAAGGAGCTGTCAGGAGGGGCTGAGTAGTGGCTGCCTTCTGCCAGATCCTCACAGGTCTTTTCATCTGACTGGAAGGAAAAAGGGAGAACAGCTGTTTTTCCCCAGGAATGCCAGGGGAGGGCTGTGCTTCCAAGGCTTGGGGCTGCTGAGCCCCCTGAGGTTCAAACACTGCAGGGGAAACAGGTCCAGAGAAAGGGATGGAGAAGAGGAGGAAAAGTTTGGGAAGCACTTAGGCAGGACAAAGGATAACAACTTGGAAAGGTCCTGCAGCCTGGACTTTGTGCATCACTGGGTGACCTCCTTAGGTCCTGTGACCTCCTGTAGGTCCAGTTTCCCTCACTCAACCCTCTGGGTGACGAGGAACAAAGCTGAGTTTTCAGCAAGGGGAAAAAAAAAAAAAATCAAACCAACACCACACACACACAAAAAAAAAAAGCCCAAAGCAGAACCAGATGTTTCTCTCGAGCTGATCTCTGTGAGACAAAGGAAGGAGTTCATCCAACGAGGAGATAATTGTGCTCACAAGGACGAAAACAGGGCTCGTTCCTTCCTGCTCGGGAGTGAGTAAGAGTCATGCTCTGGGAGGAGGAGGAGGAGGAAAAACACCCCAGAGCGCTCAAACTGCACTGTCTGGTGACTCCTGGAGCTTCTCAGCACCTTCAGGGAATATCCAGCACCCAGAAAAGGCACCAGCAAGGAAAACCCTGGGTTGGATGGAGCATCCTTTGACTATCCCAATCCAGGCATCCTCTGTTAAGGGGTCCTGCTGTAATGGGAAAGGGATAGATAAAGGGAAAAAAGGGAGAGATGAAGGGATATTATCCAAAGGGAATAAAGGGTTATAAAGGGGTATCCAAAGGGAATAAAAGAACACCTAAAGGTGATAAAGGGATATGTAAAGGGAATAAAGGGATATGTAAAGGGAATAAAGGGATATCTAAAAGGATTCCTAAAGGGAATAAAGGGATATTTAAAGGGCTATCTTCAGGGAATAAAGGCATGTCCAAAAGGATATCTCAAGGGATATCTAAAGGGAATAAAGGGACATCTAAAGGGAATAAAGAGATATCTAAAGGGAATAAAGAGATATCTAAAGGGATGCTCAGTCTGACCCAGAACACCACAGGTCAGGCAGAGCTGAGCATTCCCTCTTTGAGCTGGGACATGGCCATGGATTTCCCTGCAGAGCAGGATCATTCCCAGCCCAGGAGCTGAGCAGGGATTCCCCCCGGGCTCACCTGGCCACAGCCATAGGACAACCACTCCTCCCGGTACCGGTCAAAGCCACTGGAGCACCTGGAGAGGAAAAGTGGGATTAAAGGTGGCAGGAAACACTGGTGGCACTGCTTGTGGTTTCTAAGCTGCCCAAGAGTCCCAAATCCTGCCCTGGTGGGCCCTGTGTACGGACACAGGGACAGACAAGGACGGGAAGGGTGATATCCAAGGTGACACCCAAGGACATGGGGGTTTCCAGCACAGCTGTGCTGGAAGAACCCAAACATTCCCCTTTCCCAGAGGAGGAGAAGGGTCAACATCACTTGTCCAAGGGAAAAGGAGAGGCAGAAAAATAGGAAAAATATATGGCCTGAGTTTGAGTTTCCATTCCCTGGACTCTGTGCCAGGGCAAGGCCACGAGCTCCACGAGGCCTGTTGGGTTTTTTCCAGCAACATCTGCACAGGAAAAACACACTAAAGAAATTATAGATGACATCAGGCAAACCAGCAGCGAGAGAAATCCCCGCAGGAACAGGGAATGGAACAGCTCCCTGACCTTTGGAAAGCCTCGGGGGGGAGCAAAATCTGAACCAGGGGTTCAGGGTCACACAAACACCAATTTACCCGACAACCACAGAAAGCTTCAGATCCTGCTGAGATCTTTGCTTCGAGCACAGTTCCTGTCACAACTGTGGGCTCAGGAGAGGCAAAAATACAGATTCCACTGCCCAAGCAGAGAGCTGAGAGGACTCTGGGATGGAATCACGGAGCTGGAGCCGGGATGGAGCTCCAGCCCTGGAACCACCCCCCACCCAGCTTCCTTGGGACAGATCAAGTTGGCTTTGCAAGACCAAGCTGGCTGAAAGCCAACAAAGATAGGGGGCTGTTTGCTCCAGCTTGTCAATCCCACTGTGGTTTTTGACACGTGTGATTCCCATTTGTAACCTGAACTCCTCGGGCTGAGCCGCGGTGACGGCGACAGGACGCGCCCGGAGTCACCAGGGCAGGAGGGACAGGAGCAAACACCACCAACCACTGGGATTTGGGAAGATGAAAAAGAGTGGCTTGAACCCTTACACTGCCAGAGGGCAGGGTTAGATGGGATACTGGGAAGGAATTCTTGGCTGTGAGGGTGGGGAGGCCCTGGCACAGGTTGCCCAGAGAAGCTGTGGCTGCTCCATCCCTGGAATTGTCCAAGGAGCAACCTGGGATAGTGGAAGGTGTCCCTGGCCATAGCAGGGGGTGGGACTGGACGGGCTTTAAGGCCCCTTCCAACCCAAATCGTTCCCTGACATGATATATCAGATTTGCAAACACTGTAAATTTGGAACAATCGGAATAACCAAGTGTTTGAACCCCTGGGGTTCAGCCCAAACCAGACCCAGACGAAGCCACTGTACCCCAGGCTCAGTTTTGCCACCAAAGCAGGTGTGAAAACATCCCACCCTCTGCTCTGAAGCCACCACTGCCACTGACAAATGACATTCTCGTGGCTCAGGCTGTGTCACAGCAGGCAGGGAATCGATGCTGATTTATAGGTGGCCTTGCTGATGGCTCAGGATCTTTTCCTGTGCCCTGCTCACACCCTGCTGGAAGGAGGGGGGGCAGGAGCCTGTGCCTTCCTGGGAGAGCAGGATTTCCACGTGAGGATCTGTGTTATTGGGTCCCCTCCCCTGCCACCAGCTCCAAATAAATAGTTCAGCACAATCTCATTAAGCTCCCGTGCTCTGTGTGGAGCTGCTGGAGCTGGAGGAGAGCAGGGGGCAGGACCAGAGCATCCAGTCACCCCAAAAACAAGGCAGCAAGTGCCCCCCCACCCTGGCTATGCCTCGTCCCTCCCAGCTGGGGGGTGATGAGCATTCCCAGCTCCAGGACCTGCCTGGAGCCTGTCCCAGCCTCCCTTCCCTGCACCTCTGTCTGATCCCAGCCCAAGTCAGGACAAGTTTTCCCCCGTGTTAAAGCTGACTGACAAAAATGTGAGTCCTGCTCCAGGTCTCAGCCTGTTCCTGGACCAAAAACCCCAGGAAATGTCTCCTTTCAGTGGCTTGTAACTGGAGATCAAGTCAGTGCTTAACTGTGACTGGGAGACCAGGAGCAGCACCCAACTAACCCAAAAAAGGCAAAAAGAGGGAAAACACTAAAAAAAACCCCAGCACCACTGACCCAGCCACCAACCCTGGCCCTGTGCTCCCTGTCCCAGCTCTGGAAAGGGAAGAGGTGGGAAGGAATCCCAGCCCAGGTACCTCTGCAGGACGTGACACCAGCTGCAGTTGAAGGTCAGCTCTGAGGTCACACACGTTTCACAGCTCTGGTGCTGGAGACAAGCTGGGAAAGAGAGAGGAGAGACATTCCAGCCCGGTGCCAACAGCTGTGTGGGCACAGGGGAGCAGATCCAAGAGCTGGTGGCTTGGGCAGGACTGGAGAAGCAGCCACTGAGGGTCCAACCTAACCTCTCTGCCATGGACCTGCAGGATGGGCTCCCAGTCCATCCATAAACCTCCTCCTGCTCAGTTTAGCTGGGAATTCAAACACCTGAGAGGCTTTTTGCCCTTTCTCATGGCACAGAGGGTGTTCCTCAGGAGGCAGGACCAGCACAAACAGCTGAAGCCCCCTCGTGCTGTGTCCACACCAAGTGGTTCTGCAAGAACACCAACATTTGGTGTCCCCCTGTCTGGGAAAGATGGTCAGGAGGGGTTTGGCTGCAAAGAAAGAGAAGGAAATCAGCAGTTTTAACAAGCCCCTCAATGGCAGAGCCGAGAGTGGCTCCAGTGCTGTGACATTCCCAGGGATGAAAGCCTCCACTCCTCATCTCCTCTCACATCCTGAGCTTTTCCCAAGCCATGTGGAGGCAGGGAGCAAACTCAGACCTCTAAAGCAAGCCAGTCCATCCCTTCTGCCCTGAACAAGGCCAAAAACTGAACCCTCAGAAGCAGCAGCAGAATGGGGTTCTCTGTAGCTCCGTGGCTCCCATGCAGACATTGCTCTCAGCTCCCTGAGCTGCCAGGGGGGAAAAAAACCAGGCAAAAAACAAACCAGGAGAAAAAAAACCAAAAAACCCCACAAAAAACAAACCAACAGAGTCACTGCAGAATGGTTATTTATGTTCTGCCTGCAGTAACCTGCCTGCTGTTAAAATTGTCATAAAATACCCCGGGGAGAGCGTTCGGTGCAGCCCCTCCGTGTCTCCATGGCAGATTTACCTCCCAGCCCGCATTTACCGGCTGCTGACGACTCTCCCTCGTGCCCGAGTGTCCTTGGATCCAGCCACTAAAAATGGGGCCTGTTTCGCAGCAGCTCTCAGAAATTTCAGCTCCGTGTGGGGGCGTTGGAAATGTCTCGTGTGCGGACCCGGCGCGAACCCGCCGGGGCCCGGCAGGATGAGCTGCAGCTCGCGGAGCAAAGAGGAGGAATTTCGGGTGGGAATCGCTGGCAGTGCAGGGAGTGAGGGATTAAGGGGTGAGAGCAAGGGGAGCAGGAGGAAAGGTGCTGGTGGAGCAGCTCAGAGCACAGCGACTCCATCCTGGCTGGCACCGCTGGACCACTGAGCAGAGGGAAGGTGGATTATCCCTGCAGATCCCTCCTTTATCAGCAATTCCTGTGCCAGCTCTGAGCTCTGCTGCCATCCCAGGCTCCCATCTCGGCTATGGAGCACACCAAGGTGGGGTTTCTGCTGGCTGAGACTGGCTCTGAGGGGGTTGACCCACACAGGGCTGGATGTACGAGAGGTTCAGCGACAGCCGGGCACGGTGGGGACCCCGGGGCAGAGGTAAACTGTGCCCTGCTGGCTCCCTACACAGCTCCAAGGATCCCACCTGGCTCCCTGCACAGCTCCAAAGATCCCACCTGTCTCCCTGCACAGCTCCAAGGATCCCACCTGTCTCCCTGCACAGCTCCAAGGATCCCACCTGCCAAGCCATGGATGGCATCCCCCTCCCAGCACCCCCAAACCCGGCTGGAAGTCGGTGCTCCCCGGGTGAGATCCCGCAGGGAAGGGGCCGGGGTTGCACTCACTGGGCAGGGGGGTGAACTCCACGGCTGACAGGCTGCTGATCCTGCTGGTGTCCAGCTCCACACGGTGGTACTCGTAGATGGTCCGGCGCCGGGACTCTGCAACGCCGAGCCTTGGGGTTAAGCCAGGCCTAAACCCCCCCCCCAGTGAAGGGATTTACGTGGGGGAGGCCGGGGGGGCTGCTGGGGAAAGGTAAAGGTGGCCCCAGCCCGGGGGCTGCAGGAGAAGGGATGGGGAGAGGCTGGAGGGGTGGCAAGGGACAGATCCTGCCCCCCTGTTCTGCCAGGAGGAGCTCAGGGCTCGCTGCCCCCTCTCCCTGACCAGAGGCTGCGCTGGTGGACGTGCTCCAGCCCTGCCTTGCTCCACACAAACACATTGTTCCTCACTGACTCACGGGCTGGAGCCTCCTGGGGCTCCCCCCAAAGCTCCCCCTTCCCCCCTGCCCTGTCCCCTTCCCTCTCTTTCCCCTTCATCCTGGGGTCTATCCTTGGATTCAGGCTTCTCCCAGATGGTGGCACCAGCCAAGATGCTCCTCTGGCATCAATCTCCGTGGACAATCCAACCTCTCCTCTCCCAGCACGGGCACGTGCTCCGCACTTGGAGCCCAGGAGATGGAGCAGGACGAACACCCTCCCCTCCTGCCCCTCCTCCGCCGCCCTCCAACCCTCGTTTCTCCACCTCATGAGGCTCTTTCATGCCCAGTTCTTGCACTTCTTCTCCCCCCACAGCCCAGGGCAGGGCTTGGGAAGGCTGTGGCGTGGAGGGAGCAGCCCGTGGAGGAGCAGCTGTGGGGCGGGAGGGGAGGAACCACCCAGGCTGGCCCCGGTTCCTGCACAAACTGCTGTGAACGTGTCATAAACCGGGGCCAGATGGCTCCAGGAACAACAGGGGAAAGCCACCACACCGGGAGGGAGGAGCAGGGCTGGGCTGCTCGTGACTGGAGAGGCTGGAAGAGCCTTTCTGGGGAGCTCAGCCCAGGCCTGCAGCTCCCAGCATGCATGGAATGAGCGTGTGGACATGGATGTGGGTGTTCCATGTGCTGCTGACAGAGGTGCAGATCCCAGTCATGGAAACACATGGAAGGACACCCAGAGCAGCAGCAGGATGGCTACAGACCCTCCAAACTCCCCATCCCTATGGGAATGGGCACCCTGCAGCCCCCAAGCCTCTTGTCCATCTGCAGCCCTGCTTGGAATCGGAGAAGAATTGAATTCTTCCCCTCGTCCTCATCAGCTGGGAATCAGGGAAGAGCTTGGCTGCTCATGGAGAGTCTGAACACACCAAGGCCCACCCAGAGCACGAGGCTGAGAGATGGTCCTGGCCACGGGGAGACGCACCAGGGGGGTGCACTCCAAGAGGGGTGCACTCCAAGAGGGATGCCCAGGGAACACGGGACATGAGGGACAGCCAAGCCCCACACTCCTCCTCACACTCCCCTGCTCCCCGTGATTCCAAGCAGCTCATCCTCACGTCCTGAACTGCCCAAAGGTGAGGATGTCTCACCCTTCCCTCCCCTCTCCCAGCTGCCAAGGCAGCCCTGTGGGATCCCTGTGGGATCAGCTCCCTCCCTGCCCCAGCAGCTCCTCGAGGGCAGCGACTCACCAGGCACGTCGGGAGAAGGGTTGAGGACCATGAAGGCGTCGGAGAGCCCGGCCTTCACGGGGTGCTGGGTGGCACTGATCTGCAGCACTGGCACCGGGATCTGCAGCCAGGGAGACAGCACAGGATGGATCCCAGCCCTGCCCCAGCTCCTGGTGCTGCTGCAGAGGCCTCCAGGAATGTCCATCCCCAGTGTGTGAACAGTTACAACCCCAACCCCCTCTCCCAAACCCACAGGGACCCCCGTGGGGCCCCTCCTGCCCCGCTTCCCCTGCAGGAGGAGGCACCTGATGCCCCCAGGTGTGCCAGGAGGGGGAGGATCTCTCACCTCCTTGTACCCAAAGACGATCCTCCCGGTGCTGTGCAGGGCTGCCTGGAAGGTGAAGCTGCCCATGTCTTCCTTGCCCTGCAGGTACACCTTGTCCCACTGCACCACAAAAACCGTCCCTGGGGGAAGGGGGGTGACCAGAGCGGGTCAGGCCTCTCCTCATCCCACCAGCCTGACCTCCAAGGCATCTCATCCATCAACCTCCAGCACTTTGCTCGGAGCAGATCCCCCTGCCACCCATCCCAAACCCCTCTGGGGGGCCAAACACCCATCCCAAACCACTCTGGAGGGCCAAACACCCATCCCAAACCCCCCTGGGGGGCTGAACAGCCCCTGATGTCCCCTGCCCACACCCCCCTGATGTCACCTTGGCCCAGAGAGCCGAGCTGTGCCCGGCAGGACGAGGCCGGAGCGGGGGCAGCCAGGGCAGAGGGTGTCCAGGGCAGGGGGTGTCCAGGGTAGGAGGTGTCCAGGGCAGGGGGTGCCCAGGGCAGGGTGTGCCCAGGACAGGACTCACCATTGTCCAGGTACTGGACGGTGGAGTTGCGGGAGTAGCTGGGGTTGAAGTTGGCCATGAGGGGGGCGATGTACTGGGTGGCCGTGAGCATGCGGTGGATCACGTCCCCCACGAAGATAAAACCTGAGCGGGCAGAGGGTGAAGCAGCACAAACCACCCCCAGGACCCTCCCTCCCACCACCCTGCCCCATTTTTACCCCCAGAGTCCCCTCCTGGATTTCCTCCAAGCTTGTGTGACCCCCCCAAACTGCTGGAGGACCGGAGGCTTCGGCAGCACCCGAGTCCCCGAACAGCAGCAGCGGAGCAGGGGGAGATTTGGGGGTGCAGGGAGAGGGTCAGAAGGGCTGTATCCCCTTCTCCGAGCTCCCTGGGGCTCTGGGGTGAGGTCAGAGAGAGGACCAGAGCAATGCCCAGCCCCTCCCTGCAGGAATCCCATCCATCCCATCCCATCCCATCCCATCCCATCCCATCCCATCCCATCCCGACTCACCACCCGTCGCTATCGTGACCTGCCGCAGGAGGTGGCCGTAGAAGGGGAAGTCAAAGGAGAGGATGATCCTCTGCAGGAGGGAGGTGAGGTGAGAACCACGCTCAGCCCTCGGGAAAACACCCAAGGGAATGTGGGGGGGACTGGTCTGTGCCCTAGATGGTGCTCGGAGGGTGGGAGAGGGACGGGAGTGGGGTCCTGTGGGTGCTCATCCCCTTCACCCCCACAGTGGGCGGGGGCACCCAAACACTTCCCACATGCTGGGATGTGAAAGGGATTCTGCTGCCACCAGGACACCCCTGCTGGGAGAGGGCACACGGGGATAAGGCCGCTCACCGAGGCCTGGCGGTGAGTGTTGGAGAGGATCCCGTGGATCTTCACTTGGCTCCCGTTGGCCGCTGCCATGTCCACCCACAGCCCCTTCCTCTGGGCCTCCCCGGGGCCGAACACCCGCGACACGTAGTAGCTGTGGTTGTCCTCCTGCAGAGGAGACACAGGGGGATTACCTGGATTGCTCAGCAGGGATGTGACCCCCTGAGCAGCCTGGGCACAAAGCAGAGATATAAATCCAGCCTGGAAAACCCCGGGCGCAGCCAGCGGGGGATGCTGAGCAGCTGGAGAAGGTGCAGGGAATCCCACGGGATACCGGGCTGGGCAGAGCCAGGGGTGACTCACGAGGGAGAGCTCGGCACAGCACGGGCAACATTCCCGGGAAGAAAATATCCCGCCCCAGAGCCAGGGGCTGGGAGCTGCAGCTGAAGTGACCACGGCAAGAGGAGCAAACAACCGGGGCCGTGGAAGCCCAGAGGAAATGAGGAACCTTGGAAAGAGCAGCTCGGGGAAAGCTGCCGAGCCGCTGCTGCCAGTGGGGAGGGAGGATGAGGATGAGGATGAGGATGAGGATGAGGATGAGGATGAGGATGAGGATGGGGGGCACAGCAGGGGGAGAGGGACGTGGGATGTGCTCCAGGGAGCATGGAACGGAGCCTCGCTCTGCCTGAGGGAGCAGATCCCCGCTGTTCTCACCCAGAGCAACTAGAGGCAACCTGGGGGTCCCCCTAAAGGCACCAGCAGCACCCCCGGGCCCCCCAGGCCCCCTCTCCCAGGCAAACCAGAGTGTGGCCCAGGTGCCAGCTCTGCCACGAGTCACCTCAGACTGGCCAGGGACACGGGCAGAGCAGTGTCACCAGCCCTCCAGTGGCCTCTCCGACGGGAACAGACGGAGGGACGGACACGCAGCTGGGAGCCATCGCCTGTCAGGGGAGGCCGGTTCACACCGAGGTGGGGGGGAGGACGGGAAGCATCTTAATTTTCCCTGGGAAAGCGTTGCTCCAGCGCCCCGTGCCAGCAGCTGGCACGATGCCAGGTTCGCCGCTCGGCCCCATCTGCTGCTCGGCCCCCTCCGACCCCCAAAACCCCCTCCGACCCCCAAAACCCCCTCTGACCCCGGGACCTGCTCCCAGCCCCACTCCCTGCACATGACCCCGGGTGCTGGAGGCAGGGGAGGAGCCCTCAGCTGGAATAAAGTGCTAGTTAGAAAAAATCCTGTAACTTGTGGTTTTTTCCCGCTTCCCCAAAGCTCAGGGAGAGTCGTTGCACTCCTCAGCCTTTCCCGGCTCTTCCCCACGGGAATTACAGCCCCTGTTTGCTCTGAGGGGCTGATGCATCCCAGTCCCTGTGGATGGGGAAACTGAGGCTGTGCTGGCACCTGCTGCATCCCAGCACACACCTCCCCATGGAAAAACCCCGGGATGCAGGGCCAGGCCGCTGCTGGGTGACGAAGGAGAAAACCTCCCATGTCCTCCTGTCCCCCACTGTGCCTTCCCAAAGTGTTCCAAATAACCCAGGGGGGAACAAGCAGGGCTGGAGCACAGAGGATCCGGCTGCCACAGTCCTGACCTCATCGCTGACTCACTGGGATGTTCTAATCTGTCACCTTGATTGGGTTACAGCAGGAATTAGGAGAGGACAGGTTTGGGACACAGGGATAAATGGGGCAGAGCTTGGGGAGGGACGAGACCTCCATTCTTTGGGACCAGTGCTGCCTCTCTGCACCCCTAACCTGGAGTATTTTGGGAGGAGGGAGGGGAAAACCCCTCCAGACCCTGCACAGGCACCTCCCGAGGTGGGATCCCCCCTTCTGCAGGTGGGGCAGGGTGAGATGCACCTGCGACCTCACCCACGGCCCCACTCCTGGAGCAGATCCCAAAGCCTCAGGAAATCACTGCCTTTTCCTCCTGGGAACCACAGGCACCGTCACACCCTCCCTGTGGCTCCCCGGCATCTCCAAATGCCCTGGTGGCCACCAGTGGTTTTGGGCTGGTTTGGGGTATTTTTAAACACTTCCACATCAGGACTTTCCCGGTTCCTGGCCCTTCTTCATCCCTGGTGGATGAGCTGGAGCTGGAGCAGAGCAGAAGCAGCCACGGCTGTTTGTCCCCTGCCTGCTGTGCCTTGGGGGCACCAGAAACACTGGGACAAGTCACTCTCCACCAAAACCCAGCCACCCACACATCCCCCCCCATCCCCAGAGCTCAGGAAACTCCTCTGGCTGCCGAGGGACACACGGCCCTGCCACAAATAACCGGGAGCTAATTGAGAGTGGGTAATTAGGCACAGCAGGGGAGGGAAGGTGTCCCAGGAGGTGACACTGCTGCTGCTCAACTCGTTAGTGGTGACACAGGGACAGAGACACCCCCTACCTCCCACACAGCACCCTCACTCCCTCTCGGCCCCAGTAAGGTTACTGGGGGACAGTGGCATCATCCTCGTGGCACCCACAAGCAAAGCATTCCAGGATTTCCAGCCCAGGGACAGCGCTGGGACCTGGCAGGGCTGTGGAGGCCGCAGGGCTGGGAGCAATCCCAAGGCACTGGGCTGTAATTATCCTCTGGGATGTGGGATCCAGCTCCCTGCCCAGCCCGGGAATAGCTCCCGTGGTTGGGAACAGCTCTCCTGGTCAGGCACTGGGCGGGGGGCAAAGGGGGGACCCCCACTCACCACGATCCGGGTCTCGTTGGCGGGCAGGGTGTCGATGGCCAGGCTGCCCCCGCCCAGGTCGTGGCTGATCCGGGTCCCTTCGGATGTATCCCGAGTTCTCCGTCGCCCTTCGCCCACCGCCGGGCTCCCGGGGGGGCGTCCTGGGGGGGCACAGGGAGGGGTCAGGGGGGTGCCACACCAGGAGGGCACCCCCGGGACCAGCCCTGTCCCCCTGCAACGCTCCTGGTTACGTGACACGAGTTTGGGGGGGGTCTCAGCCTCGATCAGCAGCATCACTGCGAGGATGGACACACAGTCTCTCTGGAGGGGGGTGGGGACAGGTGACAGTGACCCCAGGCAGGGGAGAAGAGCGGGGATGGAGGGCAGTGAGGAGGCAGAACACCTCCAAATGGCAGCCCCTGCACACGCCAGCGTGACCCCGGGGAGGGGGAAGCTGCACGAGCGTGGCCTTGTCCTCGATGTCCCCAAGCTCATCGGCCCCCTCCCCACGGCTGGGATGGGCTCCGGGTGCCAGGGAAGACCCCAAGCATCCACCCCCAAAAGAAACGTGTCCCTTGTCCCCTCCTGACACGTCTCTCCAGCCCTGGGGAGGCAGCAGAGGCCGGAAACATGACTGAGGGCGGGGGGGGGGAAAAAAAAGCCATTTGGGACCAAATCTGCGGAGAATCATGAGATTCCCGGCAGCCCGGCGGCGCGGGGGCGGTGGGGACAGCACGCACTCGCCCACGGGCAGGGACACGTCTGTCCCCAGCCAGGGGACAGCAAATCCCCCGGGGGGGGCCGCGGGCAGCTCCCCTCGCCCTTGGGAGGGGGCTCCCACCTTCACCCCTGGGGAGATAATTGCTAATTGCTGCCTTAACGAGCTGCCGGACCCCTCCTGGGGCTGGATTCCGTTCCCAGAGCTCCAGGAGGGGAAACTGAGGCAGGGGGAGCAGGGCTGAGCTGGACGTGCCCCGGGGGGCTCTGGGGTTGGGGGTCACACTCGCCATCCCTGGGGGTACCGGGGGGGGCCCAGACCTCACCCCCGCTGGGAGGTGTGGGGTGCCCCAAGGAGCAGAGACATCCCCTCCCCAGCAAAAAGGCTCCCCAAAATCTCAGCGGGTGGCTGCACCCACAGCCGGGACAGCACCAGCCGTGCCACGGGGTGCCACGGGTGGGGGAATCCCGGGTGGGGGCACCCCCCAGCCCCCTCTCTGCCCCAGGACGCTGCCCTGCACAGATGGGGGGTCCTGGCATCCCATCTTCGCCGTGGAGGTGCTGGGGCGGGGGGGGTCACGGGGTGGGGAGCGGGATCCCCGCGGCAGGTCCCACGGCGCGGGTGGGTGCAGCGGGCTGCGGGGCACAGCGTGACACGCACCTGCGTGCTTGGGGGGGCACGAACATCCCCCCAAAGCACAGCAGCAGGGGGGCACAGACCCCCGGGACCGCCGGCCGGGCCGTGCACGGTGCTGCCCACTCGGGACCCCCCCGCGCCCCCAGTGCCGGGGTCCCTCCCGGAGCTCGCTCGCCGCCCCCCCCGGGCCCCCCTACCTGCGCCCAGCGCCCCGCGGAGCAGGAGGAGCAGGAGGAGACCCCCCCAGCGCATGGTGGGGGGCAGCGGCCCCGGCTGTGCTGGGGGTCGGGGGGCTCAGAGCCCCGCCATGGGCCGGGACCCCCGGGAGCCGCGCACCGAGCGGAGCCGGAGAGGAGCCGGGCGGGGCCGGGGGCGGGGCCGGGGGTGGGAATAGGGTTGGGAAGGGTTGGGATGGGATGGGAAGGGATGGGGATGGAGGCGCCAGCAGGACCCCTGTGCTCCCGGGGGGCTCGGGAATATCCCCCCCATCCCCGGCTGGGCCGGCGCCCCCCACTC